GTGGTGGCACACGCCTTTAATCCCAGCACTTGGGTGGCAGAGGCAGATGGATTTCTGAGTTCGAGGCCAGCCTGGTCTACAGAGTGAGTTCCAGGACAGCCAGGGCTATATAGAGAAACCCTGTCTCGAAAAACTAAAAGAAAGAAAGAAAGAAAGAAAGAAAGAAAGAAAGAAAGAAAGAAAGAAAGAAAGAAAGAAATCAAGCTGGTACTGGTGGTACAGGCCAGTAGGATTTGCTGAAGGAGGCAAAGGCAGGAGGATCTGGAGTTTGAGGCCAGCTGGGGATACACACTTTTTTAAAAAAGGGCTGGAGAGGCCAGGCAGTGGTTGTGCATGCCTTTAATCCCAGCATTTGGGAGGCAGAGGCAGGCGGATTTCTGAGTTCGAGGCCAGCCTGGTCTACAGAGTGAGTTCCAGGACAGCCAGGGCTACACAGAGAAACTCTGTCTCAAAAAACCAAAAAAAAAAAGGGGGGGGGGGCGGGGCTGGGCTAGAGAGACCGCTAAGCGGTTAAGAGCTGCTCTTCCAAAGGACCAGAGTTCAAATCCCAGCACCCACTTGGCAGCTAATAATTGTCTCTAACTCCAGTCCCAGATGTGATGCTCTGTTCTGGCTTCTTCCAGCAATACACACATGTAGTATACAGACATACTGGGAGTAGAAATACTCATACACATAAAATAAAAACAAAACAAACAAATTTTTTTTAAAATTAAAATAGCAATTGATCCAACTTATTTTTCTTAATTTTTTAAAAGATTTATTCTACATAGTGAGTTCCAGGACAGCCAGGGCTGTATAAAAAGACCCTGGTTTTTTTGTTTTTTGTTTTTCTAATTCATTTATTTATTCATTTTATGTGTGAGTGTTTTGTCTACATATATGCATGTGCATCACGTGTGTGCCTGGTATCTGCAGAGATCAGAAGAAGAGTGCATCAGATTCCCTAACTGGGTCCCACACAAAATGAACAAATGAAATGTTCTTAACTGCTGAGCCATCTCTTTAGCTCCCCTTCAATTTATTGAATCCTACAAGAACATACTCCAATGTAACTGATAATGATTAAATACATTAGAGGATATATCAGAGAATTTAATCTATGATAGCACAGATGAACATAGATAAAAAACATCTCAACAGTCAATGAAAACTACTAAATAAGCAAAGGCAAGAAACAAGGAGAAGCCGGGCAGTGGTGGCGCACGCCTTTAATCCCAGCACTTGGGAGGCAGAGGCAGACGGATTTCTGAGTTCGAGGCCAGCCTGGTCTACCGAGTGAGTTCCAGGACAGCCAGGGCTACACAGAGAAACCCTGTCTCAAAAAACAAAAACAAAAAACAAAAAGAAAAAAAAAAAAGAAACAAGGAGAAACACAGCATCTGTGAAAGTATCTTTTGATTGATGTTATTACCAAACAATATAGAATACCTAAAAAACAGTAGAGAACGTAGACTACTGGCCAAAAAATTCTTTTGAGACAGAGTTGCTCTATGCAGTCTGACTTGCCTTGACCTCAGAGACCCAGGCTGTCTCCACCTCACAGAATGCTTCAATTAAAGGCATGCACTGGGCTAAAGAGATAGCCCAATGGTTAAGAGTATGTATTGCTCTCCAGAAGACCTGAATTTGATTCCCAGCACCCACATAGGATGGTTGTAACTCCAGATTCAGGGCACCTGAAATCTTCTTCTGTCCTCTGTGAAGACCTGAGAGTACTCCTGGAAGACACACACACACACAGGCACACACGCACGCGCACATACACACACACAAAAAGGCACATGCATGCAAATAAATCTTTTTTTAAAATTCTAGAAGCACAAATGTCATGTAAGTAGGGTGAAAAACTATTCAAAGAAAGATAACTTACAACTTTGTACGGCTCAGCAAAGAGAGGAGAACTAGGTGGGAAGGCGTCTTCACCCTGCTGAATTTCCTGATTCCGCCTTTCCCTTTCTTTCATGCGCAGCACATTTCGGTCTTCACGGTTCATGTTGCTATGAAGAGAAGCACAATTTTTACATCACAAAAATAAAAATTGAACATTCTGTACTGACTGTCAATTTAACACTCCAAATGGAGATTAAAATTTCTGTCCACTTCTGGGTAGTTACCAGGCCTTCTTTCGTGCTGAAGCAGGGTTCTGGCACTATGCATTATCATCTTTGACAGTCACTCAGAAAGAAAACATCTGCTACAATATGAGAAACCACTACTCCATCAAAACAACCTCATTTTTTTCTTCCAGTGCTAGGAATTGAACCCAGAGCCTTGCCCATTTTAGGCAAGCATTCTTCAACTCCTCTACCCTAAACATGACAGTTTTTCAAATACTCTGTTATCTGAAAGTGAGCTAAAACGTGTACATTCAGAGGGAAAGGATTTCCTACTTAAAACCATTTGTCAGTATTTCCTCTCCACAGAGGAACTGGGCATACCTTTGGTGGCATATAACCCACTCCCACCTACTACTCAAACCCCTATGTCCAGCTTTTTTCTCTACTTTGCATCTACCTTATCTTGATTTCTTTTTGTCCCAAACACAGCTTCTTTGATGTCCATCCTTATGGCAGTTTGACCTCAGCTTTGCTGTTGTTCTAGATTCCCTAAAAAAACGACATTTCTGCTCTAAATATATTAATATTTCAATTAATGTCTCAATGGCAAACCGAAGCTTTCAGTGATAGAATCTAAAATTAGCATGTGTTAGTAAGTAAAACTAAAACTGTATTAAAAAGGAAAATGTATTTGTAGTAAAAGGAAAAAATTGGGATTGTCATTTCTGCAATCATGATAATACTATATTGTCACTAGAATAAACCAAGAGGAATGGCTTATTTATTTATGAACAGCAGAGACTTTTGTCTGGCCGGGCAGTGGTGGCACACGCCTTTAATCCCAGCACTTGGGAGGCAGAGGCAGGCGGATTTCTGAGTTCGAGGCCAGCCTGGTCTACAGAGTGAGTTCTAGGACAGCCAGGGCTATACAGAGAAACCCTGTTTCGAAAAACAAAAACAAACAAACAAAAAACCCACCACCAACAACAAAAAACAACCAACCAACAAAACAACAAAAAAGAGGTGGGAGGAGAGGGAGAGAGAAAAAAAGGAAAACAGAAGTCTATCAGACCAAGAAAACATGTCTCACTTATTTACAATAAGTAAAACCAGTACATTCTTGGGACTGAAGAAAAGGCTCTGGTTAAGAGCACCAGTGTTCTTACAGAGGTCCAAGGTTCAGTTCCCAGAATCCACACAGTGTTTTGCAAATGTCCTTAACTTCAGCTCAGGGAATGTGACACCCTCTGTTGGTCTCATCAGATACCAAACACGCACAGAGTGTACATACATACACACAGACAAAACATTTCTGAACAATAATACATGGAGAGAGAGAGAGAGAGAGAGAGAGAGAGAGAGAGAGTGAGATTGATTCTAAGTGTTTCAAATTGTGTTCAAGTTATTTCCTTTTAGTTTTTTCAGATTCGATGTGAGATTTCTTACTGAACATGATTTGGTGGAGTACAGGAGAGCACTATGGAAGGGAGTACTGGGGCTGCCTCTTGTCCAAGGGACCTCAATTGTAGATATATCTGACTCTACAAGCATCAGGAATGAGCCACTTCTCAGTGACCATGTCTTCAAATTCATTTGCATTAAACTTAGTAAAGCCCTACTACTTTGAGATGTGGATCTTCTGGTGGTCTGGGATCTTGAACTTGGTTTTACTGAGCCTCAATCACAGATTCCGCATTCTGCAGCTTGGTGCATGCAGTAGGACCTGGTCAATGTGAACCCTGACCACTGTGCTCTGGGGTTTCCCAAAGGCACCACCACATAATTGTCTGGAGCCTATCAGCCCAGCACAGGACATCTTGTTAATTTGGATGATATGAAAAGGTTAGAGTCTCACTCTTTGAGCACTGCATGTACATAGTACACTTAACAAAACACACGGGCATGTATACACATAAAATAAAACAAAAAAATTAAGAAAAAAAATGGGCATGATGCAATCCGTCTCAGGATCTTTTAAAAAATAAAAGCAGAAAGGAGGCTGGAGAGATGACTCGGGGTTAAGAGCACTGGCTGTTCCCTCAGAGGTCCTGAGTTTAGTTCCTAGCAACCATACAGTGGCTCACAACCATCTATACTGTGATCTGATGCCCTCTTCTGGCATGTAGGCATACATGCAAGCAAAGAACTAAATATATAAAATAAATAAATAAAAAAAAAAACAGTTAAGTGTCTTAGTCACTTTTCTAATGCTATGAAGAGACACCATGACCAAGACAACTTATAAAAGAAGGGTTTCATTTGGGGTTCATGGTTCCATCAGGTAGGAAGCATGACAGCAGAAAGGTAGGCATGGGACTGAGGCAGTAGGTAAAAGCTTATATTTCTCCATATCCGCAATTAGGAGAAAGAGTGGTAATTAGAAAATGCTTAGGCATTTGAAACCTCAAAAACCACCCTAGTGAGAAACCTCTTCCAATAAAACCATATATCCTGATTCTTCCCAAACAGTTCCACCAACCGGATTCAATCTGTGAGCCTCTGGAGGCCATTCTCATTCAAGCACCACAGTGCTGGTGAGATACAGAGGAACTGGTGTTCCTTGTGCACTGCTGTGAGAACACACAAATGGAGCAGCCACTATGGAAAAAACGTTTAGTGAGCCCTCAAAACCTTTAGCGCACGGACTGGAGAGACGGCTCAGCCATTAAGAATACTAGCTGCTCTTCCAGAGGACCCACATGGCATCTAACATGTCTGTAACTCCAGTTCCAGGGAATCCAATGTCCTTTTCTTTTTTTTTTTTTTTCTTTGTTTTTCGGGACAGGGGTTCTCTGTATAGCCCTGGCTGTCCTGGAACTCACTCTGTAGACCAGGCTGGCCTCGAACTCAGAAATCCGCCTGCCTCTGCCTCCCAAGTGCTGGGATTAAAGGCGTGCGCCACCACCGCCCGGCTCCAATGTCCTTTTCTTGCCTCTGCAGGTACTGCACACACATGATACACAGACGTACATTCTGGTCAACACATAAAAGCAAATAAAACCTAAAAATCAAGAACAAAGAAAACAAAACTTTAATATGAGGGCAAGAGAGCTACAGCTCAGTGGTCAAGAGCACTTGCCCATCTTGCAGAGGCTCCAGGTTCAGTTCCCAGAACTCACGTAAGAGATCCACAACCATTTAGAACTCCATGTTCAGGGGATCCAGTCCCTCTTCTGACCTCCATGAACATGAGGCACATATTGTGGTACATATACACACATGTGGGCAAAATACTCATATACACAAAACATTATTTTTTAAAAATTTAAAAACTTTTACAGAATTACCAAATGGTGTAGTAATTTTACTTCTAGGTATACACTCTAAGAAATGGAGAGTAGACACTGAGATCCTTGTACACCAACATTCACAATAATCAAAAGATGGAAGCAAGGCAAGTGTTCATCAACATAAGCAAACTGTGACATATACATAGAATAGAATATCTTCAGTCACAAAATAAATGAAACTTTGCTACAAAAAAGATGATCCTTGAAAACATTAGGCTATGTGAAATAAGGCAGACTCTAACAGACATATGTCATATAATTCCAATTAACAGGATACCCAGAATGGACAAATTCATAAAAACCAGAAGGCTAGAGGTAAGGACACTGGGAAAACACCATTTTATAGTGAGCCAGAATGTCTGCCTGGGATGATGAAAAACTCTAGAAAATGACAGTGCTGATGGTTGTACAATACTGTGAATATACCATGAGTTCTATACATAAAGTGACTAAAATAGTAAAATTTTATATTATGTGTGTTTTCCCATAATTAATCCAACAGGGGTAAATACATTATGTATAGAATCACATAGTGTGTATGTATGAAATTACCAAAGAATAAATTATTTCTTTTTTTTTTTTATGTGTTTCTGTGTGTGGGTGTGTAAGCTTAAGTGCCCACATCTAAGTAGGATCCTATGAAGCAGATGAGGGCATTTGACCCCTGGAACTAAATTATAGACTGGTGTGAAGTTGCCATGTGGGGGCTGGGAACTGAACTTGAGTCCTCTGAAAGAGCAGACAGTGTTCTTAATCACTGAGCTATCATTCTAACCACCAAAATAAGCTTTTTTAATTGAGAAGAATCCAAGAAGCATATGGTAAAAATAAAAATCTAACTTTGCACTCCCAACTAATCAGAAATAATCTATTTTTATAATGATATTAATTTTATAGCTTTTTATAAATTTTAAGTTAAAATTTTTAAATAGTTTAAAATAATGTTGGGCCAGGCATGTCAGTGCAAGCCTCAGTACTTAGAAAGCAGAGGCAGGTGGATGTCTGTGAGTTCAGCTGGCATGGCAAACATAGTTTCAGGACAGCTACGTATAGAGAGAGACTTTGTGTCTAATAGTAAAGTATTGCTTTAACATAGCCCTTTCAAGTGAAGATCAGAATCTGTTATGTCTTCACCCCCATTACTATCTTATAACAATTATCCTACTTAAAAAAAGGGTCATTCAACTATCAGATTATTGATGGTTTAAATTCCAAATGTCAAAATGAGACTTGAGCTGATATTTCAATTATTTTCAAACAACTGCTACTTGACTTTAACTTTACCACAATGTACTATGCTAAAGCACAAAGCCTCATGGACCCAAAACCCCTCTTGGCCTCATTTGCAGGATTTCTCTACCCATGAGAACTTGTGAAGAGATCACTTCCTACCAGGTAAGGAAACAAAGAGCGCACACCTGGAGATCAAAGCCAAACTAACAAAACATTAGGTCCCAAGACAGTATTTTATACAGAAGGGCTCTTGTTCAAGAGCCAGTGCTGAGAAGTTGTACAGTTTTTAGTTTCTTTTGTCTTCTCAGTGCTGGAGAATTACCCTAGTGCTTCAGTAATGCTAAGCAAAAAAAAAAAAAAAAGAAAAGAAAAGAAAAGAAAAAGAAAAGAAAAAAGAAAAAATCCACTACTGAGCTT